TACTAGCTGCATACTTTAAATTCAGTGCGAGTCTACAAATACTTTCTAAATATTTTTTAATTATTAATGATGAAAGTACTTGTTATTGTACCACTGGACTACAAAAATAACACGACATTGAGTGCATTTGTTTCCACTATCTTTTTTCAGCAGTGGTGGTTTTTACCATAGTATTTAGTTTTTATCCCTGTTCAAAAGTTCACACTTAGCTGATGATTGTTTATAAAGCATGTTTGGCATGCTTAGGAAGAAAGCCCTGAGCTCATAAAATCCTCTAGCCTGGGGCTCCCTCCTGTTTGCAGGGTGAGAGGGAGAGGGAAGTTTGAGCTCAGGTAGGTCTCAAGAACTCCCCTTCTTGTTTTGGCAAATGGCAGATTAGGCATTGCTATGAGGATATACTGCTGGTTAATCGCCCATCTATGGTGCCAATTTGGTTTGGTTAATGTACCTATATTCCATGTCCCGCTGGCATGCGGAGAACATGTAAACTCTGCACAGAACTGTCAAATGACCAGGGATGCGTTTCCCAAACAACCATATAACTCGAGGCTGAACTATCATAGTACGATGCATTTTTTTTGGAAAAGACTGATAGAGTGTTAAGTGTTTCTCAAAACCGTAGATTCCTCCCGTCATTTGAACCACTTTAGTTATAACAAATTATGTCCATAATGACGCTTTTAACGGCGTGGAGTAACAACTATTTTAAAGAAAAGCCCCAAAAAATTTTGTGCAAATTATATTTTTGTACACGCACACGCATTTAAAAAAAATCCAATATTAGTTTTGGTAAAAACACGCACTCCTTTTTCATATTAATTGAAATATATGCAAACGGCTCATACAGAATGTTTTCTCTACAAATATTATTAAGAATATTTCATATTTTATTTTAAAAGAATCTCATATATAAATCATATAAATCGTTGATGGTAATTTACAGTTGGCCATTTAGTAAGAAATTTAAAAAATCCTTTAATAATAATTATTATTATTAGATTTATTTTTAATATTAAGTAGGATCTTGTTTATTTTTTATTTTATTTATTGTAAAAATCTACTTTTAGAATTTGGCACATTGAAACCACTGCACAGTGTTCTAATCAATAGGCCCATGTCATATACAGTACAGATACATTTCTTAATAATTAAGCTACTAACAATTTAAAAGGTTAATGTATGTTATATATTTTTGTTTTCACAAGCTTTGGAGAAGTAATGTAAATTCTGCTTTTAAATAACAGGTCACCTATAGCTTTCGTCAAGTGCACTACGAAGGGAGCACAACTGTCAATATGAAGATCGCTAAAACTGAACTGTAAAATTACTTTGAATGCAAATTCCGCGGAAGAGAGGTGATTTTAATAGTTCTTTTCAATGAAGTGTTTTGTTCAGATGTTTTAATTGCAACAACATACAAAATCTATTTTACGGACACATACAAGCAGTTTATAACATTACATGTTTGTATAAAAAGCATCATGCTGTGCGGATAAGCATTTAGCTGGATTAGCCTGCCTAGTTCTCATAAAGCTGCTGTTATAGGGTAAAACACTATACAGACTATTTCAGCATTTATTATGATTGCTGGATTTAATAATCTAAATCTGCACAAGAACACAAAAAAGAAGTTGGCAGGCATATTTGCTGACAGCATGGTGGGGATTTGTGTGTGTGTGTGTGTGTGTGTGTGTGTGTGTGTGTGTGTGTGTGTGTGTGTGTGTGTGTGTGTGTGTGTGTGTGCGTGTGTGTGTGTTTCATGACCAAAATCACTCAGTTTGTCAGATAAAAAGCAATATAGTAAGAGTGTGTTGCATCACTACTGTAAGTTGTTAATTTTCACGTTCACACCTGCTTGTGTGCACACAGATCCATTTAAAGCTATCATTTTGTGTGTATATCCTACCACGAAAGGACAGACAATGACAGATGGGTCTATATAATGGTGGCGAGAGCTGGATGTTGGTAGTCAGACACCACTGTACGCTCTGCTTTCGCTGATGGAAAGACCTTTTACTTTTCCCGTACGGCCCCAGAGAGCCCTTCCATCAAACAGTATTGACCGTGTCGTGCTGTCTTCACCACTCATCAAGATACATGTCTGCTCCTCCAAGGAGAAGACCTCCTACGTGCCCTTCCTGTGTGAGGTTTTGGCAGGTGGCTTTTGCTTCCGCCCCAGTAGACTCTTTCCTCCAGAGAAACTCCGTGTTTCTGAGGCACTGTGAATCTCACGCTCCAGGGCCGAGTGCGATTGGCTCGGCTGCAATGTGAATTTTTTAGGCAGCTCTCCAGAGGGCTGGAATTCGCCTTCGGGGACGCGAGGATGTAGGACACAGGCTTTCCATCTATTTATCCGTTCCGTTTTCTGTTTCGGAGATGAAATAGGAAGCCGTCCACAGGGGATCGAAGCTTTTCTTTCTTCTCTTAGTTCATTAAAGATAGAGACGACAGCCGCCCTGTCATAGCTGTCACGAAGAGAGAGGCCGACCTCGGTGTGGCTGTACTTTGACACTTTAATGTGTTTGTGATAATGTACAGTGATGTTCTCGAGGGGTAAACGCTTGACTGGGGCATCTGCTGGCGGTTTGAACACACCTGAGCTCTGCTGCGGCAGCGGCTGTAAAACTGGGCGCTGGAACAACAAAACAGCCATCATAGATTTGAGGTTATCCTTCTTAAATCCCTGTTAATCCTCTTTTTCATGGACACAAACACTCAAGAGCTAACAAAAATGGCCCTCCTCTTATTACTGACCTACTGTACCATTGAAAAATAATCATCAGTAAATTGCCTGCTTATGAAACAGTTAGTTCAACTAAAAATGAATATGTTTTTCCTCATCCACATGTTTTTCTAAACCTATAAGACAATTCAGGGAACAATTTCTATAGAGCCTGTTTATAATGTACTGTAAATGTACTTTTAATGTATTGCACGTTTGATAAATGCATAATTTCTTTAGCCATTAAAGGTATGAAAACTGTTACTGGGGCGGTACCTTTTCAAAAGGTACATGTTTGTTCCTGATGGGTTCTAATTGGAACCTTTTTTTGTTTCAAAAAGTGAAACTTGTGTGTTATATAAGTTCACTACACACAAAAGGAACTATGTTAAGCTTTTAATTGTTTCAATTTGATGATTATGGATTAAAAAAGAAAAAAAATCCCAAATCCATTATTTCACACAATTAGAATATCATGACAACATTCAACATTGTAGGCTCCCTGTGTCTTAGTGTAGTCTGCTAATTAATACAAAGCTTTGAAATTGTCTCAGTCTGGCTTAGTCGGCTTCAGAATCATGGGGAAGTCTTGATGGTTGTGCAGAAGACCATCATTGGAACCCTCTATAAGGAGGAAAAGTCTCAAAAGGCAATTGCTAAAGAAACTGGATGCTCTCAGAATGCAGTATCTAAGCATATTAATAGAGTGTTAAGAGGAAGGGAATATGTGGCTGAAAAAGGTGCACAAGTATGACCGCAGTCTTAAGAGGATTGTCAAGCAAGGGCAACTAAGTCTGGTGTCAGATCATCAAGATCCATCACATACAGACATATTCATGACATGGACTACAGCTGTAGGATTCCATGTGTCTAGCCACTCCTGTACTAAAAACAATGTTAGAAGCATCTGTGCTGGGCTAAAGAAAATAGAAAAAGTACTGGTCTGTGGTCCAGTGGTCCCAAGTCCTCTTTTTAGATGAAAACAAATTTTTTGTATTTCATTTGGAAATCAAGATCCCGGAGTCTAGAGGAAGAGCAGAGAAAAACATAAGTCAAGCTGCTTAAAGTCCATTGTGAAGTTTGAAAGTCAGTGATGTTTTGGAGAGCCATGTCAAATGCTGGTGTGGGTCCATTTTCTTTTATCAAGTCTACAGTCAATGCAGCTTGATACCATGAGGTTTTAGAGCACTTCATGCATCCTGCTGCCGACAAGCTTTTTTAAGATTATAATTGTATTTTCCAGCAGGAATGGGGACCTGCACACAGTGCCAAAGCTACCAGTACCTGGTTTAATAGCCATGGCATGCCTGTTCTTAATTGGCCAGGAAACTCACCAGACTAAAACCCTATTGAAAATCTATAGGCTATTGTCAAGAGGAAGATGAGGGAACAGAGACCCTCAAATGCAGACAAGCTGAAGGCCGATATCAAGGCAACTTGGGCTACCATAACACCTCAACTGTGTCAAAGGCTGATCGCCTCCATGCCACACTACTTTGCTGCTGTAATTAGTGCAAAAGGAGATCCAACAGAGTACTGAGGATATAATACAGTACATTTACATGCTTTTCAGAAGCCAACATTCTTTTTTTATTGGTCACATGAATTTTCTTTTTCTTTAAGCCTTAATCGTTTAAATTAAAACAAATAAAGGCTTGAAATATTTCACTTTGTGTGTAGTGAACTAATATAACACACAAGGTTCACTTTTTTTAAACAAATTATTGAAATAAATGGACTTTCCATCGATATTCACATTTTTTGGTACTTGTGTATAATATATACTGTACCAATGTTTGTTCATCTTTGGAACACCAATTTTTAAGAAGTCTGAGAGGTTTCTGAGAGATTGAAAGTTAAAAATAACGTTGATTCTAAATAATTGTACAAAAATTTTAATTAAAGTTCTTTATTACAGTAATTTTAAAGCATTTTACAAGAAGAACCAAGATCATTTAAGGTTTTTTACACATACAAACATTGATCAGTGAACTTACTGTAAACCTGCTTGCTAGAGCTAGAGCTTCCATAACCAAAATTTGAATGCCAATGTTTGCACAATGGTATTCATATAAGAGTATTCAGGGAATAGACTTTTAGTGAAAGGAGAGAAATCTCTCAGATTTGATTAAAATATCTTCATCTCTGTTCTGAAGATGGACATATTTCTTATGGGTTTGTCTCAGCATGTGGCTGAGTATATTATATCTTGGCTTTTAATCACTTGTGGCTGAGCTCTGCTGTAATTGGTGTGCCTGTGATCTGATTTGATTGGCAGGAGCTGTCTACCCTGCAGTGTGAGGTGTGCATCCTGGTGTTCTCCCTGACGGACAGGCGCAGTTTCCACCGGATCGCTCAGCTCCGCCTGCTCCTGAGAGAGTCGCTGCCGCACACCCCCATCATCCTAGTGGGAAACAAGAGCGACCTTGTGCGCTCCCGTGAGATCAGCACCGAGGGTAGGCCTGGTTTTAATCTACTCTATGTCCTTGAGCTACACATCCCATAATTCATCACGATTAACAATTTTCAAGAGCTGGCATATATTGGAGAGAAATTAAAGGAAAGTGGAGTAGGTCAAATAATGTTTTAGAATGAACGAAATATAGTAAGAATCTGTAAAGATCAAGATAGACTGATTGTAATATAAAGGAATGACAGAAATAGCTATTTCATTTTTTTTCATTGAATATAAAAAATACTACTATGACTGTAATATTATTAAATAGACTGTTTTCTGTTTAATATGTTTTAAAATGATTTTATATGATGGTAAAGATTAATACACTTTTCCTAACATCGGTGTCAAGGACACATTTTTTGCCTAATTTTATACGTTTTATAAAACTAGCCTTTTTTTTTTTTGGACTAATTTTATACTTTTTTGTCTAAAACCATGTTTTGTAAAGTAAAATTTTAAAATGTTAAGTACCACCAAGATATATATATATGTATGTGTATGTATGTATGTATGTATGTATGTATGTATGTATGTATGTATATATATATATATATATATATATATATATATATATATATATATATATATATATATATATATATATATATATATATATTCATTAAATATTTTCTTTTCGGATTAGTCCTTTTATTAATAAGGGGTCACCACAGCGGAATGAATCAACAATTTATCCAGCATATGTTTTACGCTGCGGATGCCCTTCTAGCTACAACCCATCACTGGGAAACATCCATACACACTCATTAACACACATACACTACGGACAATTAAGCTTACCCAATTCACCTATAACACATGTCTTTGGACTTGTGGGGGAAAACGGAGCACCCGGAAAATAATAATATATGAGTAATATATGAGTGGAATAAATGAGTGGAAATCATTATACTCTATTTTGTGTTATGTTATTTGTGATATTTATAATACAAGCTAATTCTTTGTGTGTATGTGTGCGTTTAGTGTGCATGCATGTTAGTGTGTTTGTGTGTTAGGCTTCTTAATTTTAGTCGTCACTTTTTCAAAGGCTGACCATTTCACAGCATACGTTTAATCAAAATGTAATCTAGTTCAAATTAGAAAGCACAGATTAGTCTCTAATTCTAAACAAATCTAAAAATGAAGTCTGTGCATTAGAGATAAAATGAAATGGAAGCAGTAAGAGATCTTTTTTTTGGTATAGTTAAATATTTGATCAATTCACTTGACTTTTGAGCTAAATCTGAATGTGAGTGTGATCGTAACATGCAAAGCGAAACTTGCATGGTTCACTTTTAGATCAATTGCATGCATTTAGAAAATAATAATGGGAAAAAAATGTATGGGATGTATAAAAAGGTTGTACTGACTTTCAGTACAGCGCTTTTTGCGTATGTACGCCATATATATCAACAGGTATTTTATTTCACAAAAGATCCCCTGTGGTCCACCTCTGTCTCTCGCACTTGTGAGTCATCTATATTAACCTTGCCTCTGTGACTCAGCTTTTGTCTAAATGCTTCTATCTCCATCTGGCTGTATTTATATAAGAGGCTTCGTGGATTCCTGGCAAGAAAAATCACTCAGCTTATCGGCATAGAGCAGGTGCTGCTAGGAGACGTGCATTTGTAAAGTAGACACATTAGCGGCCGATAAGAAATATAGATTCTCTGTGCTGGTGTTTTTTCAGCAGGGCAGACACTGCTGTATTTCAGATACCAGTTCAACAGATATATTTACGTTTTAAAGCCTAATCAAATGCTTATTGAATTGCTTTCAGACTTTTCAGTTCCTGTGATTTCTCCACAGCATTTTTAAGTAGCATATGTATTTAGCATATTTTGAAATTAACACCTACCAGCCTGCCAAATGGTGGTAAAAATCTCTATTACTTTGTATGGAATTAGTCAGTGTCCTACCCCTAAATGGAACCTCAAATATGAGCAAATTAAGACATAAAGAAAAACAATTGGCACTTCTTTAATATCCATTCATTCATTCATTCATTCATTAATTCCTTCATTCATTTTCTTTTCGGCTTAGTCCCTTTATTAATCTAGGGTCACCACAGCGGAATAAACCACCAACTTTTCCACCATATGTTTTACGCAGCGGATGCCCTTCCAGCTGCAACCCCTCTCTGGGAAACATCCACAAAAAGGCCTACAGCATTGCTTAAACAGTTGAGGTTAAACATTGCTTACAGCATTGCTTAAACATGACGAGATGCATTACATTTTGAACTAAGTTTGTTATGTTTCAATGTTTTCATAAAAATGTGCAGTTCACCCAAAAATTTACATTGTGTCATGATTTTGTTTACAAACAAACGTGGAAACATTTACTCACCCTTGACTGGTTCTAAATCCATTTGATTTTCTTTTTTTCTTATGAACAAAAAAATAACATATTTTGAAAAATGTTGAAAAATGTTGGAAACCAGTAACCATTGACAACCACAGTAGGAAAAACAAATACTAGTCAATACTATGAAGTAAAAAAAGAGTTATGGGAGAACTATGGGTGAACTATTGCTTCATATAATATATGTGGGTTGAAATGCCCATTTTTATAGTGAATTTAAGACTTCTGGATGCTTCTGGTATGCATCTTCAGTTTAATGAGTATATTGATATTGTTTTTGATCCACAAATCTCAAGGTCAGTTTTTAAATCTATGTTGTTTCAGTTGATGCATGAATATAATTTCACGAGACATTATATTATGTGGCTTTTTTTACATTGAATTTGAGGCTTTTTGATTTATACATCTTCATTTTACTGAGCATATTGATGCTGTTTTTGATCCTCAAATGTGCACAAAAGGTCAGTTTTTTTTTAATCTATGCTGTTTCAGTAGATGGATGAATATATTATATTATATTATATTATATTATATTATATTATATTATATTATATTATATTATATTCATTTTTATCAGAAAATTTATTACAAAACAGTTATGATGCAGTTTGACGTGTCTTGACAGATCACTGTAGATGCGCCACAGTTCATTCAGCACTTGACTGCGAATTAATGTGATCATTTCTTCATGTTTACTAAAAGTTAAAGGACCAAATAAACATGAATGACCATCTCTGAGTATTCATTTCTTGGTTAGTGTTTTAACCATGGAAGAACATTGGTAATGTAAATATTATAAAGCTTATGAATATTACACTGCAAAAAATGTAAGAAGGGTCTGGCTACACTGCAAAAAATGCTTTTCTTACTTAGATTTTTTTTTGTCTTGTTTCTAGTCCAAATATCAAAAAGTTCTTAATTCGAGAAGAATTTTTCTAGACAAGCAAAACATTTTGTCTAGTTTTAAGAAACAATCTGCTGATATTTGGACAACAACCAAGACACAAAATCTAAGTAAGAAAAGCATTTTTTTGCAGTGTACAGACCGGATGCAGATGAGCTGCATGCTTCACTTATAATGCGCACACCTAACTTTACCCCTCACAGTGATGTCACTAATTCCGTTGAGTGCACTGTGTCTGAGACTGCGTATCTGAGCTTGCATATGCAAGTCTGCAGCCAGATACTATTGAAAAATACTTTTCTTACTTTTTTTTTTATTTCTAGTCCTAATGTCAAAGAAAACTTAAATCAAGAAGCATAGATTGAAAAAAAATATATATTGTTTTGTTTTCTGAAATGATTTATTGATTTTTTAAAAATTTCTCTGGCAATAGGGTAAGTAAAATAATCTTATTTCAAACCAAAACAAGATCATTTTATTTACCCCATTGGCATATTATTTTGTTTGTTTAAAGGGGAAACCCACTTAAAGGAGCAGTAGTTGATCTGCCAGAATGCTAATGTTAGCATCATTTTGAAAATTTATGTCCCTACATCAGACCTACCCTCATTTTGAAAATTTACATCCAAAGCTACACTTCCTTAAGTCATGAACGCGTGAACGCAAACCAAATAGATGACGATTCGATGATGATAGACCATCTTATATAACACCAAATCATGTCATTCACCAGTTAGAAAACTCTGTTTAGACTTACATTTTGTCCAGCATAGTTGTTGACAGGCCAGCAGGTGCAGGCTGACATTGGGGTAAAGTTGGTTCTGCCAATGACTTTAAAATACAACATTTTTCACAGTCAATTAAGTTAGGTCATACCTACACACTATTTCAGACCCAATATTCAAAGTAATGTTAGAGAGGGAGTGTGTCACAGGTTGAAACTGTTCAAAAATGAACAAATGTGCGAATATAAACCAAACTTCACTTCAGCAAAGCTGGTTAAGTCGAAGAGCGCTATTAACTTATGTTTCTTTATTAAACGAAATAAAAATCAGATCCAATAACAGCTAAAAACAGAAATAGACTGTAATCTTTTTACATTACACTTATGTTACCATTACAAAGAGTTACTTTTCATTTTCAATTGTGCTCGCTGATCCTCATACATCGCTGGTATTTTCTCCTTTTACACTTGAACAACTAAATGAATGCTTAGGTCTATTTAACTGACTATATTATCAATGCTGTAAAAGGTACTCCATGAACTTAAAACTAGTCTTTTGATGCTCATTTTAATTGGCTGAAACACACCTCTGTGCAAATAAACCTATTCATAAACAAGAACACAGTCTACTTAAGCTTTGCGTGACTAAAATAGTTTTGAAACATACCTGTCTAAAAGTAATACTTCTGCCATGGTGTCATCCTTCTGATCATTATTTTGAACTGCATAACATCTTTGAAAAACCATCTTTCTTTTCATGGATACAAGGCCACGTTGGTCTTTCAGAAAGAAGTTGAGGTTTATGCTGAGTTTACGTTTTAGTTTTAAAATGGCGTTTTAGAAGGAAAATGATCCACATCCACACTGGCGTTTCACCTAGCATTTCTAAACAGCTCTCTGTCCACACTATACTGCTGAAAAACGCACATCACGTCACCATACACACACACACACACACACACACACACACACTCTGGCATGCGCTGCAGCGATGAGAGCTGTGCATTCA